TAGGTCTACTATCCATGCAGGTAGTAGGCCTATGTTTCTTCATACGGCAGTAATAGTTTATTACTGTGAGTAACCTTTCAAAAAAACATGAAAACCAGATTGAAGCATCAACAGTTAGACTTTGGAATAACAGATCCCAGTCAAATGATAATAGGCTATCAGTTATGTCCAAAAGGCTTGACTTGGGCAATACTGTTCTAAGGTAACTGATAGGCTCATTGTCAGATAAAATATTTGAATTAAAACTTAAACTAAGGATTATACTATCATGGTCAGAGAAAGGAAAGAATATTACATTACTATTACAGCTAGCAACATTGTTAGTGCCTATCCTTACAAAGACATTATCAAGGCAATGCTCACCTCGTGTTGGGGAAAAATTTTTACAAAAATAGTTGTGTTGTCTAAGAAGGTTTAAAAAATCTTTAACGGTTTGTTTTTCTGTAGTGATGTCAAAATCTCTATTCACGTCTCCTCCAATAATCACATTATAACTGGGCCAATTACATAAAAACAACAGCAAACATTCCAATTTTTCAAGAAATATGCTTGGACTACCATTAGGAGATCTATAGAGTGAAACTACAATGATTTTCAAACTATCGAAAATTACAGATGACAATTCGAAGTGTAGCTCGTCACATAAATAGGCTACGTCAAGTTCTTTAGCCTGTAGGGCAAGGTCATTCCTTACAAAAATAAGGGTACCTCCTCTGATTTTGTACTGAATTGTAAGTACAGTATAAGAAATAAGTTAAAAAGTATAGTCGTTTAAAGTTCGTGTAACAGGTAATAAACGTTCCTTATTAACAAAACTAGCTGTGTGCCCGTTCTACGCACGGGGATCTTATAGTGGTCAGTTGAAACCTTCCTATATAGCAAACAGCAGTTGGTTTGTATATTTTCAGATATGCTGGCCAAACTATTATATATATAAACAAATACAGTATCTGACAGTTTCAAGTAAAAAAATGCGTACTAGATCTATGAAGGGTACACTTCCATATCTGTTGGCACAAACAACCAAATGAGTAATGTTGATTATTCGATTGTTTAATTCGATATATCGTTTGGTTAGTTAGGTTAGGTTAACCCTACCTAACTAACCTAAAGATATATAGTTAAAATATACTATACCTAAACCTCGCCATTAAACATTCAGGTTCGGGTTGGAAATTTCACTATCAAAGGTGCTCCTGTCCTGCTCGTACGGACAATGAGTAATATGCGATACCAACTTATGATTGTTTAGGCCTACGAACCCTAGAGATGGACAATTGGTCTATTGGCTGTATGGTACAGCGAGCAGCACATAGCGTTGAGAAGACAATTTTGAAAAGCGATTTGAGCATAATCCGTAAACCTCTGTTAAAATCACCCACTGCAGTTGTCACTTTACACAACCACCATTGAAGTGCCGTCAATGAGTTGAAACCTTGTATATAAGCTATTGGTAACGCTTATGTAAAAAATGTAAGTTTTCCAGCCATATACAACACTGATTCAAGGTCTTTTTCCCGGTTATCAAAACTCAAGACAAATGGTATACACAAAGAATCTCTATTTCCATTTACGGTTACCCTACACATTATTGCACTTGCGATTAATTAAATTCCCTATGTAAGTTAAAACGGTTTCAATCCAACTTGGTTTGTATTGGGTTTGCTTTTGAAACGTGATCGGAAATGATTGCGGTATTTGTAAACAACATTCAATGTAAACATATCTGTAATGGTTGACGGTTGCGGTTAACTGTTGAAAAGTTTGTTAAGCACATTACCGTTGCCTTCCTCAAAACGATGATCCTTCTGACTACTTGATGATGGTTGATGGTTGTGGCGATGATACTTCTGACTATTTGTTGATTCTTGATGGTTGTAGTAACTTTCCTTTTGAATATTTGGCATTGGTTGCAGGTGAAACCGGTTTCTTCGATCTATGGCTCCTTTGTACGTCAGTACTTTATAAGATCGTGGTGAGTTTAACTTTTCTAAAACCGTCAACCATTGACAAGTGGTCCGATGGATCATCATGAAGACATGACAAACTTTTCAACGGTTCCTCCAAACACCTCTGGAATGTCCTCTGCTAACATAACAATCCGATCAAGACGGCTCATAAAACCTCCCCAGAAACTCAACCTTTAAAGAGGGAGATGTAATGGTTGGCTCTACTGACTATTGTCATTCTAGTTTTATATTATCATGTGTTTATTGTTATTGTTTACTTCTTGTTTTGGTACTAATGAAAGATCTGTAATTAAACTATTCTATGGTGATAAATTCTTATTTTCATGGGTTTAATACAATATCAGTGCTAGAGAAAAATAATCTTGATCCGAACAGCTGTTCGCTATTTGATAGATGAATGAATATGTGATAAACATTGGGAGTAAACTTGACAAAAATCCACAAAATTGGGTTTTTAAACGTCCGTAAGTTTATTTACAGAGTAGTGAGGCCATATTTTTATAGCTAAACACACTCTCGCCAATCCAGTGAATACATTAAAATGTATCCGATCTTGATAGGTACTGTCGTTTTTTCAGGAAAAGGCCGCTTAAAATGGCTCTTGGGCCGTGACAGACGGAAGACAGACAGAAATTGCGATGAGACTTGTTTCGACTTCTTAAATGTATAAAACGTAAAAATAAATAAATAAATAAATAAAAATGCCTTTATTTACGAGTGAGTTTCATGAAACATGATTTTCAAACTAACTCAAGTCACTAAATCTAAACTATCCTAATATATTTACATAAGTATATACAAAAAATGTCAACAGAATGATTTACAACAGAAATTTTACACTCGTTTTTTTCATTGCGGCCCTGAATGAGTTATAAGATTTCGAACCCTTAGTCGCTTGAGGGAGGCCATTGTGCAACTGCGGGCCGAAATAAGAAAAATACCTTCTTCCAGCCTCAAGCCTCACTTTAGAAAAGTGAAGCCTGAGGTCAGAACGAGTACTACGTAGACAGATCTCCCTCCTGTACTTCAGCCTCTCACTGAGGTAATGAGGCTCTCCCAGCGTGAGCACTTTGTGGACCAGGCAGCAGGTCAGCTTTCTGCACATGTCATCCATTGGAATTGGACACGTGGTCAAAGCGACTAAGGCCAAAAATGAACCTTATGGCAGAATTTTGAATTCTCTGAACTCTTGCCATAATCTCCTTAGAGATGCTGTTTCCATATGCAGGAAAGCAATACGTGAAGGCTGGAAGGACCAAGGACCGCATGAGTTACGTTTTGGCGTACTCTGGCAGGAGAGTTTTAAATCTGCTAAGACCTCTCAATCCTAAATAACCTAAACATTTACGATGCTGAGCAATATACAGACAAAGCTCTAATTTTATTTATATAGATACATGATAACTGAACATTTCCAACACATTATTGAGATTTAGCAGATTTCCCATATAGGATATTTCCTATATTATAACATAACGGTAATTATAGACATTACCGTAGGTCTCATGGTAAGGCCTAGTTTAGTTACCTCAGGGTAGAACCGGGACCGATTTAATTTTTCGTCTTTGTCTCCTCAGAAGCCAAAAACACCGTCCGTTCAAATTCATGTATTTGTGGGTATGTCTGTTAGCACGATAACTCGAGCAACAATTATACGGTTTTGATGAAATTTTGTTCAAACGTGTACACTCACATTTATTTGACGAGTTCACGAACCAATAGATCGGACCATGGCAATGGTTTTTTGCGGGGGTTTTATGGGGTAAAAATGGGATTTTTCTCATTTGCTTGCTCAAAATATAAAATTTCCTAATTTATCACTAATATTTTAAGGAAGTTTTAAAAAGCGAATAATTTAGTGCGTTGAAGTGTATTTGTATGGTTATAAGTTATTCAACAAATTGTAGATCTATACTTATTTAATACGCAAGCAGGTTTTTTGTGACAATTACTCCTCCGAAACTACAGAACCGATTGACATGTTTTTGGTGTCATTGGAAAGAGCGTAACGTGCAGTTGTGCACGAAACTTTCTTTTTATGGAAATAATTAGAGAGTTAGGCCCTGGGGCCCTTTAAAGTTTCGTATTTCTCCTTAAGATTAACATGGGAGACAAACTTTGATATGAAACTTCAGCTGTTGTCAGAAATTAAAAGTGAGAAGAAGAACACATTTTAATTGTAAAATTGTGAAAGAGAGGTTATGCAGAAAATCAGGTAGTTAATGGTTATTTGATGCTATTAAAATAAAGACTGAAATTTGTAAACGTACTTGAAAAAATGGGTGATACCATGCAGACTACATTTACATTAACATTGACAAAGACCAACATGGACATTGTGGACCATTGGACAACTTATTGCGGCTATAAGTGGGAAATTTTGTATAAAACTCTAAAAGCCAGATCAGCTTTTGAAAAAAGATAAAATATTTACAAGAAATGTTGATTACATTAACTGTTAAGTACATTTTGGGTATTGTTATTAGTTACGTAATCTTTTAGTTGACTCTTTTAAAGTCATCGGAATTTATGACTTATATTTCTTCTTAAATAAGTTATTTGTTTTTAAATAACTCCTTTACTTCTTTGCGATTGCTCGAGTTCAAGCAACATGTACACTAGTTTAATATTACTATGTTATTCTTATGGAGAATAAGTAAAGTGTTATATTTTGCTTGCTTATGGACATATTTTGTTAAAACTCGACAAGATTATTTATGCTACTAAAAGCACACTTTATTAACCTCCCTGCAGCAGCAACCTTGGCGCCTGCCTAATGAAACTAATGTTATTCAAATAAATTTATGTAAGTAAAAGTCAAATCAGGTAAATGGAAATTCGCTTAGTCTGCAGTTATGCTGTGGTGGGAGTAGTTTTATTATTTTTGTTTTTAGTTTTTGCTGTGCTTAATTGATACTTACGTAAATATAATACCATTCAATTTAGAGTTCTTGAAGTGTTCTCGACTTTCGTTCAAAACCGGTTCCATCTACTCTAAGAAATATGAATACACACACAGACAAACACAGATTATGGAACAAAAATATATATATATTTATAAATCACAAGTTGTTTTCTTTTCAGATGTCTTGAAATATTGTATATGACTTCGGCGCAAAGTCGGTAGCATGTTAACAAATATCTTTCATCATGGTGCTCTTAATGTACCTGAAAAACAATTTTTAGCTTTATAACAAAAAAAAAATTGTATTGCAAGTTAAGGCAAAATTCAACTGGTCCTAAGTGTTACTCTGCTGCTTCCATAAAATTAAAATAACTTTGATGGAGAAAACTTCCTATAATACATTTTCTGAAATCAGACATGGCAACATGTTCTTAGAAAACACAAAAACACAGTTCAAGAACAAATAAATGAAATTCTACGAATGCATTAACAAATAGTAAACCTTACACGATGATTCAGAAGTATCAAGGCAGTAATTGTCTGGAATATTTTATTACTTGTCAATAGTGATGAAATAAACCATTCAAATGTTTTAAAAACATCATTACATCGTGTATCTTTATAATAAAATCACAGTCAACGATAAAATTCAAGCAAAGTATTTATTAACTAACGATATTATTATTCTAAGTTTTTTGATAAAATTCAAAATTATGATCCAGATATATCAATACGTAAGATTACATTGGCTTGGCCTTGCTAAGTTTCCAAAACTTGTCGGCAAGACCCAATAGGCTTAGAATTGACAAATCATTTTAAGGTATTTTATTTCATTTTTTAAATACAAAAAAATGCGAATTTACTGATTATAAGGTGGATTTGTGACAGACAATAAACCTTATTTATGGTCTGTATAAGTTATTTTAAATTTACCTTATTCTATCATTAATATCGTAAAAATACTCACACTTATATTAATAAGTATAAAATCTCTTGTTTCCCAAACATCACCGTCCTACGTTGGTTAACGAAGAGCTTTTTGAAACTCTGAAACAACAAAAAACGCAGAAATAGAATATGCATTTGAAAAATTTTATCTTTTAAATAAAAAGAAATAACCACATAAAATGCTGTCCAACTTCATCAAACGAACACAACACAATACATTAACATTGTTTAAACTTCAGTCATGGACCAATATTTCTGTGCTATCATGAAATACATACACGAACTGACAAAAAATGATTTTTTTCTGATACTTTGTGCAAAGATTAGTCTTACTTGTCACTACTTACGTACCAAGTTTCAAGTTAATCACTTAAGGAATTCAAAAGTTATGGATTCATTTGTGAAAATCACATACAGACGGACAGCCGGAAATCGAGGCTCCAGCGACCCATGTTTATAATGTAAAATCTTCTTGTATTAACCCAAGGAACAGTCCTATGAATTTTTTCGAGAGAGTTCACAAACACCCATAAAACAAACTAAAATGCATTCAACTGTAATTGTGTGTTCTAACTTTAAAAAACACTGTTTTTGTAACTAAACCAATACTGATATCGTCCATTTTAAACAATATGTTTTCTTTTGGTGTTTAGTTTATTGTAGCCTTGGAAAAAACTATATTGGAGGGATAATATAAGTTCGGAATAGCTATTGTTTTTTACGACTTTAATTTGTCCAATTTTAACTCTAATTTACTTATTATATGAATTAGAATTCAGTCTTCATCAAGCTTATAATATTAATTTTTAAGTAGTCATTCGAAAATCACTACTGAAATAAATAAATAACATTGTAAGGAAGAAGAACCAATGTGCACTGTGCAAATAATGTTTTTTGTTGTCGCAATCAAACAAATGGAACAACAGAAATACTGTTGTAGGAGGAGCAGTAATTAAATACCACTCTGGATGAACAAGTTTGAGTGACATTAGGTGTAATATGATTGTAGGGTGGGTCAATCCTCTAATGGAAGAGCAGGTACAAAGGATGTAGCATGTAGAGGTGTACTTGCCTACAAGTATAATTTAAAATAATTAACTACTAGAATAAGTGGTAATTTATAATATCGTAATAAAAAATATACTATTTAAATAATTTAAACAAACATGTGTGAGGCATCGACACGTTTATATCCAGTTGTTAAGAAAATAAATCTAATTGTTTTACAGGTATAAATTTGCTAGGTAAGTTTATTGTTCTGTCGAACTCGAGATTCACTTATATTATTGGGCACTTTAAATAAGAGTAAAATTATCGTTAAAAGAAGTAACAGAAGAGAATTTGAATCAAACTATGTACAAGACTATTAATAATAAAATTCACTTGAATATTTTCTAAATGTGAACTAATAAAATAAATTGCTTTTAGCGTGAGTCTGCCAAAATGAGTGTTTGTAAAAATGTGGCTATGTTCAGCATCTATATATTAATAGGCAAGCAGATTTCTTAAAAATATTTTTTCTCAGCTTGTGTGCATTGCAGGGAAATTTACGCATATTGTTGGAAAGATATTTTCCTGTAGACGTGCAGAATCCTTTTATAAATTAAAATATGCTAAAAAAAGTGCAAAAAATAAATTTAAAATTTTATAAAACTAACATGGGCCTTATAGGTTGCCACTCTGGTGACGAAATAACAACGAAATATATACAGAAAATAAAAAGAAATGGAAGAAATTCCAATCTTATGGTTTATTTACAGCCTGGGGTGAAAACAGAGAAGTCTGTACATAACATATTTTTGGTCTAATTTTCGAGGTCACTGGACGTCCTCTAGTCTAAATAAAACATCAGATTAAATTATTGTAGTAAATAAGTGCAACTGAGCTCCCTGAATATTATATTTTTAAAAGAAGTTATATTTTTACTTCATTTAAAAATATAATATTCAGGGTGCTCAGTTGTACTTATTTACTACAATAATTTAATATGTCAGCAGCCCTATTATGTGAACACCTAAATTAAAAACAACAGATTTATTACAGAAACATGGCTTTTTGAAAATGTATATTTAAAGCATAATAAAACATAATCGTTACCGGTAACACTTTCAAATAAAAAGAAAAATTGGAAGGTTTTTAAAGATAAGCAAACAGTTTTCGTGTTTCATCTTACTAAACATTAGTAGCCACTATGAATATTTATATTTGTTTTAATGGCCTTGATATAATTTTAGCAGGGGTCACGTTTTCATTATACAGGGTGATTCTAAATTATTACTACACATTTTAAACTCTATAAATGAATAACCATACAACCTATCATCACGGGATGAGAATCAATTGAAACCTCACAGCTTGGTGAACAACAATAACTGAGCGGTAAATTATAGAACTAATTGACCCCTAGTGGTATAACTTAAAACTTTTGACAATTCAACATAGAGTAAGAAGTTTTGTGATTCAGAGAGGTTAATTGAAAATCGTAGTTAAAATCTAAAAATGTCTTAGAGGCTAATTTTGTGTATGTTTACTAAAGTGGTCTCAAAAAAAACTTTAGAATCTTGTCTTTTAATTTATTCTCACCCTGTGATGATAGGTTGGGTAGTTTTTCATTTATAGAGTTTCAAAATTGTAATTTAGAATCACCCTGTATTTGGATTCTTAAGTTAGTTTCAAATTTTTTTCTTAACTGCATTTTCATTAAGTAACCGAAGTAACGGACACAATACTAAGAGTAACATCTCTTGATGTTCACACAGTGGGGGGTGTTTCGTGGTACTGTACTCTCTTTGTTCACTTGTCTTATTATGAGACCCGGGCCACACGCAAGCCGGCCTTTTAGTAAAACAAACCCATAAAAAAACTCAAGAAATAACCAAAATTCTGTAAATGTTTTGTTAGGACAAAAAGACATAATATAAAAATCATTAACCTGTTCTCTAGGGTTCATTCGTTTCTTCTAACTTTTATCTATGCTGAGCTATGAAGAATACTTCACATCTTAAAGTACTAAATTTAACATCGACTGCTTAACATTATTTTATAAAACAATAGATTATAAACTAAACTCCTACATAGGACCACATTTAAGAATATGTTACCCAACTTAATGCATCCATTTTGCCTCAATTTCCTAAAATTACGCCTGGCATTGATCACAATAACATTTTTGTGGAAATTTCAGAGCTCCTTCCATAAGGAACACCACAACTGTTACACTTCAACATGGTTTCACAACAAGAGCTCTGCAGACACTCAAGAAAATCCATAGATCACATTTTCAGCTACATTTAGGACTGAGTTTGTGTGTCCCTTCCCCATTGAAATAGCAAACTTGCAAACTAGACTGGAGTTGTGCATGATGAAGAAACAGTGAGGAAATCACTAGAAGCTACAAAGACAATTCTGTGCATTGATGTGATTTAAGTTGAACATTAGCCATTTTGGAGTCAGCAGAGCTTGAAGACGGTGTCCAGCAAACCTAGGCCAGACATGCAATGTAGGAGGCTTTGGAATATTTGAGGGGATCCAGGCTTCAGAAAGTGAAAAAATGGCCAAAATTCACTTCTTTTTTTATAGTATTTTATTGTTATTTGGTTATTTATGTACAAGAAAATATAAGTTTTATAGGTATCCTACACGTTTTTCATAACAAAAAATATATTTTCCCCAGATACTACATGAGCGCGTCTTAGTTTTTTCCAGGACTTCGATCGCGATTCCCCGAAAGTTGTGGTTTTTAGTGTTTTGTAACAGAAAAGTTGATATATCTCAGCTAATTTTTGTCCTATCATGTTGAAATTTTTACCAGATGTTCTTGATAGTATTTACAAACTTTTTGGGTATAATTATTAATATAAGTCAAATAGTTAAAAAAATATAATTTTTTATATTTGAAATATAGTCTAAGAAATTTTTTTTTTGTTTTTCAACTTTTATAAAATAAAAACTAATCATCCTACAAACAAAGTAATACCCAGGATTTCAGTAAGTGTACATAGCTACAAAAAGACACCTAGTTGAACAAAATTGATCAACTATTTTATGAGTTATATCAAAAATAAAAATGTGTTACGTTATGATACATAAAAATACATAAAATGGTACTGTGGTACATAGAGTGGCTACAACAAATAAAATTACAGTTTTTAGGCCCATTCGATATAATAAATATCTTTAAAAAATGATAAACATAAAAAATAAAAAAAATGTATGTTCTGAAGCCTGGATCCCCTTGGAATTGTTCATTGGTGATTAAAAATTAAAGCTGTTGCCGATCGCTAACAACCTTTCAATTTATCTTTTTATTTAAAAGTGTTAATGGTTATGTTTTATTATGCTGTAAATATACATTTTCAAAAAACTATGTTCCTGTAGGATAGCTGTTGTTTTATTTAAATGCTGAACATAGCTAGTTTTTTACAAATACTCATGTTTACAAACACCCACGCTAGAAGCAATTTATTTTAGGAGTTGGCACATTCTGAAAATGTTCAAGTGAATTTTATTATTGACAGTTTTGTATAAAGTTACATTCAAAATATTATTAACGAAAATTATCCTTATTATAATATATCAGCCCAATCATACCAGTGCATTTTGAGGTAGACAAAACGGTAAACTAACCCACAAAATTTATATCTGTAAAATAATTTTATTTTATTTATTAGGATCTAGATATAAGCGATTCGAGCCCTCACAAATGTTTGTTAAATTATAAAATATATAAAAAAACTATATAAATACTAAATATTATATTATTGGTCCTAGTAATTTAATTTCTTGATTAAATTCCAAGGCTCTTGAAATCAGTTGAACATATCTGACTCTTCAACTCTTGTTATAAGATGTAAATTTGACGTGTTGGATTAAGATTTGTGAACAGCAATTCGTATGGATGAGGTTTAATTTAGTGAAGAGCTGTTGGATGCTCGTGTTTGGGACATAGTGAAATACAAATAAATTTAACTAGAAACATGACCTATAAAATTATTAGTTATGAGTACCTGAATGTGTGTAGGTTTTGCACATAACTTTTGGACTCGTGTGTTAGAGAGTGCCTGTGGCCTGGGTGTGGTCTTAGGTGCTAGACTGTTGAGATTTTGGTTCGGTCCTGCGTGTCCTTGTGTTGGACTTACCTCTCTGGAAGTTGGAGTTGACATTAAATCATCAACCTGTGTGTGTACAGTGCTCCACATCCAACCCATGCACTCAAACCACGGATAGGAAAATTTCATTTTCACTCTTTTGTATATGGTTTGGATAATTGAAATTGTGTTTCTAATGTATATTTTCAGCAGTTATTATTAAATTACTTAAGTCCATGTCCATTGCAGTAAATTAGTGTCAGTTGGCTAGTTGTGAAATTTTGTTTGGATCAACACTTTTAAATATTGGATTAACATATAAACATTGAATTAAACATAAAAAATATTTTTAAACATTTTATTTAATGTTTGTCTGATTTTGCTTACTTTTGTAACAACTAGGTGGTGCCCTCCTTTTTAAAGAAATTTAAGATTTTGTTGTGGTAAGATGAAACCCACTCCCAGGCTGTTCGATCTGATGCAGAAGTGGCACAACATATGAATGTTGGACTTGTAGGTTTTACAAGGGGTGAGTGGGACTGTGTTTGATCTGAAGTAAGTTGATAAAATATATTTTATGTACAAAAATTACCGTTACTAAGACATAGCTTTGTTATATTAGCCATCAGAGGCTCAAATTATTTTGTAAGGAAATTTCCATTACTATATTATTTTAATTTAATTTTGAAATATAATTTTGTTTCTCACATTGGGTTAAATTTTTCAAGGAATTGTAATGGTTTCTAATAAATAAATATAATTTCTCAAAACAGATTAATCTTTGGAGAGAATGCTGTAATGTATTATATTCTGGTGATTTATTACCTTCAAAGTCAACAGTTCCAGAGTCGTCAATGTCGATTTCGTTGACCATGCCAATCAGTTCCTTCTCAGGGATGTCTGGGTCTAGTTCCCTTAGGATCTCTTTGAAGTCCTCTGTCGTGATGTAGCCATTTCCTGGACAGGAGAATCAGGGAGATGCCGTTAGTAACTTGGACACCTCAAAAACTTGATATTATTGATCACTAAGTTAATTATGATATTCTTTGACACTTTCTGCTGTGCTTTTATATACTTAGAATCCTCCAATGCACATCAGTCAAGTAAGTTGTTGACTGGATTTATAATTAAGCTACGTTCGATCTAGACAAATTGGTTGGTTGATATCTTCATGATATATTAGCATTCATTGACTGTTGGATACTGAAGTAGACCTCCATATGGACCAGCTGTAGCCAATCTTTATTTAAAAACTTTTGCAAAACTTATGACAGCTAACCTGATCATACTGCTGGACCGAATTACACGCGGGTTGTCCAAAAGAAAGGTTATCGAGCCTATGTGCAGGATTTATTTGTATATTAAAAATTTATGTAATTGGGTCAAAAACAAAAAAAATAGAGAAGTTTGCACATTTTTATTTCATTGTGATTTATTTTTTTAAATTTTATTGACTTTTAGTAAATTGAATTTAGTAATTTAGATCAGCGCAATCTGTAGGTGGCTCACGTCAACTACGACGATTTTGATAAAAGATCTGGCTACAAATTTAACATGGGGATGGAATGTCTAGTTGTATTGATAGTCAAAGATATTAGTTTGAATATAAACTTCATGTTAGCTCTATGTGATATTTATAAACACCGTTGGCTTCAACGTGATTTGGAATTTCAAATCATTGTCTAAATGAATTTAGTATATATCTGCAACTAAAATAGCACAATATCCAAAGTAGTATCCGACTTAACGCTCTGGTCCTTAGAGCACCAAGCACGACAGGTGATTATATCATTTTAGCGAATTTCCCATATTGCGAATAAGCTATTACTGTATATATATATATATATTTGTGTGTGTGTGTGTCCGATAGTGTGATAACTCGAGCAAAAGTTATACGATTTTAATTAAATTTGTATTTAACAAATGTGTGTTTTCCGCTTTGAACGAGTCTGCGAACCAGCATAATCGGACTATAGTACAGGCGCAAGGTGCAGTTGAGTATGCATGAAAAGACTCAGAGAATTTGACTTTTGATTTTGGTAATGGGGGCCTAGGAGAGTGTAAAAACCCATGTCGTCGCCTCCAAGGGTGGTCGACAACTTAGGGGTGGGGGCGCAAAGTTGCGAAAAAAGTCAATCGGCAAACCGGTTTTAACTCCCTTGTTATTGAACGTGAGTAAAAGATTCATTTATATTGACTTTAGATTTTGGTAATGGGGGCCTAGGTGAGTGTAAAAACCCATGTCGTCGCCTCCAGGGGTGGTCGACAAGTTAGGGAGGGGTTGGGGCACAAATTTGCATGTGCATATACTATACACTCGCATAATGTAACTGACTCAGGTATTCAAATGTTTGAGCACTTCTAGAGGTGCTAGGGAGTTGAAATTTGGCACGGTTCTTGGTCTTGGGCCCAAAACCCCAGAGAAATTCAGAAAAGTGATATTTTCATATTTTAATAACCCCCCTCCCCCGAAATCTCGAATTTCCCCTCAATGTCATTCTTATGGGGAATAGCATTAAAAGTGGTCGACTGCGTGTGGTCATCTGAACCGTTTAGAAAAGTGTTAGAGACTTGGAATTTCGTAGTATTGTAGTATGTGGTCTTAAATTAACGGTGAAATTTGCAAAAGTCCCATTTTCAAGTTTTAACCTCCTCAAAAATCCAAAACGGCTGACACCTAAAACGAAAAAAAAAACACGTTTTTTAAACGGCTATAGCTCTAAAACGGTTAGAGCTAGAAAAGATTTTAAACACTTTTCATGGTCAGGAAGAAATATTATACGAGTACAAAACACTGGTAAACGTTTTTTTGAAAATCGCAATCCTTCACCTAAAAAAATGCCATACTTTCAAAATTTAGTAAATTTCATTCAGATATATTATGAATTTTGCTATTTTTTTTACCTAAGAATCTTTTTTGTGGAAACATTTTTATTGCTTTGTATTTAGCTTTGTTTACTTTAAATTCTACTCATTACATGATTTTTTTCGTAACTTTACTCCTTGACCCCCAAAACCTAAGTTTAAAGTCAACATTTGATAGGTTTTTACCACTTTTACGAGCCCCATGTTATTCTTATGGAGAATAACTATGAGATTTAAAGACTTTGGTATGCTCATCTGATTCGTTTAGAAACGTGCAAGATACTTTAAATTTGGTAGTATTGTAGTATGGGATTCTAGATTAACGGTGAAATTCCCAAAAGTCCCATTTACAAATTTTTACCCAACCAAAAACCAAAATTGCTGACACCTAAAACGAAAAAAAAACAAAGTTTTTTAAACGGCTATAGCTCTAAAACTGTAAGAGCTAGAAAAGATTTTAATGCATTTTCATGGACATGAATTAAATTTTCCACAAAACCTAACTTATCGTTTTTCGAAAATCACACCCCTTTAACCTAAATAAACACCCCACTTTCAAAAATTGGCAAATTTTGTTCAATATTTTAATGGTTATCACTACTTTTCCTAACTAATATTTTTTTTTATTATTATTAATGCTTTATACTCCCCTTAGTTTACTTTAAATTTTGATAATTACATGTTTTTTTTTGTAACTTATTTCCTTTGCCCTTAAATGTAAGATTAATCTCAAAATTTGAAAGATTCTAACACTGTTACGAGGCTATAACAGTTTCCCATGTAGTATGGGATTCTAGATTAACGGTGAAATTCCCAAAAGTCCCATTTACAAATTTTTACCCAACCTAAAACCAAAATTGCTGACACCTAAAACTCTTATGGGGAATAAGCCTCAAAGTGACTTACTTCGGTGTTAGTTTCTTAACCATTTAGAAACGTGATAGAGACTTGAAACTTTAACCCCTGGAGGCGACGATATGGGTTTTACACTCGCCTAAGCCCCCATTACTAAAATCAAAAGTCAATTTAAATTAATATTTTACTCACGTTCAATAACAAGGGAGTTAAAAGTGGTTTGCTGATTGACGTTGTTTGCAACTTTGCGCCCCCACCCCTAAGTTGTCGACCATCTCCGGAGGCGACGGCATGGGATTTTACACTCACCTAGGCCCCCATTACCTAAATCAAAAGTCAATTTAAATGAATCTCTTACTCACGTTCAATAACAAGGGAGTTAAAAGCGGTTTGCCGATTGACGTTTTTCGCAACTTTGCACCCCCCACCCCTAAGTTGTTGACCATCCCGGAGGCAACGACATGGGTTTTAACACTCTCCTAGGCCCCCATTAACAAAATCATAAGTCAAATTCTCTGACTCTTTTCATGCATACTCAACTGCACCTAGCGCCTGTACTAATTTCATTTCAAACCATTTTGTAGAGCTTAAAAAATAAATAATTCTCTATACTCAAGGATTGTTGTATGCCCAACGGTGTAAATTTAAAATTCTTATACTATTCTTATGGAGAATAAATAAACCGTCGTAGTTTGCTTGTTTATAGATATATGTCAAACAAATTTGGCAATTTGGTTTATTCAGACAAAGCTATTAACTTTCAATAAAAAACACACCGCAATACCTTCCCTGTAGCGAGCAAACCTAGAGTATTCACTAAAATTAATGTTACTAAAATAAGAAATAAATCTGACAATCTTAATAGAATATTTTAGTAGAAATTCAGACAGGTAAATGGAAATTCGCTCAGTCTTCAGGTTTGCTGTGGTAAGGGTATTATAATTGTTGATCGGCAGGTCAAAGGCCTATTTGTTTTGTGATACCAAGGGTTACTAATTGTGTAAGTACCATTTAGATTATTTAATTTTTTTTTAATAAACGGTATCAGCAACTTCACTTGTACTTTCCCCAATTATTTGGCGTGTCAACCAACTAACCAGTGGTAAGCGGTTGGAGTAACTACGACATTTTAGGGGGAGTATAAATTTTGAGCCCAACTTTTACAATGCGTGTTGTAATATAGTATTTTATTTAAATATAAAAGTTCTATAACATTAAATTTTAAACAAAATAGTTTTGACCGCTTTTCATAATAATTTTACCGATATTTTATGTTGTTACGTGGGAAAATCACCATTGAGAAATAAAATGAAAACAAACTCTTTAGAGATACTATTTATAGTACCCACATATCAAATTTTATTAAATTCGGACTACAGGTGTGGTTTGTAGTTCAGTACACATACACACACATGAAAACCACTTGTTGGGCTCTGGGAGACTCAAAACGGATATATCCACCCAAAACTCGAACTCGAAAATTGTGTCAAAAATAATACTTTCTTCTTTTTATACTGTCTATAGAGGGAAAAAATAAAATTGTTTTGGTTTAATAAAAAATGCTTATAAGTATGTACCATGTATTTACCCTCTCTGTCGTAGAATCGAAACGCCTCTTTGAGTTCTGAGTTCAGAAGTTCAGCATTTACATCTTCTTCTTCTTCTGTCAGGAATTTGGATGCCAGGATACAGAACTCTTCAAACTCCAACTCTCCCGATCCTGATTGAAAAAGTTTGATGTATTATTCCATTTATAATATAAATATAACAATAGAATATAGAGATAATCCACTGTCAACTTGTAGTTAATTCCAATTTAATAGTAAATGTTTCTCAAGAACTGAAATTTCAATTATTCACAATCCGACCGAAATACAAAAATGTAGAGCACAAAAATCATGAAAATGAAATAGTTCAATAATTTGTGTTGTTTTCAAAATTAAACAAAACATTAAAACAGTATGCGATTTTTTATTTTTTATTTATTTATTCATGTTATTCTGAACTTGTCACTCAAGGTTATTTTAAGGTATGGATTAAATCACAATATTCAATATTTAAAAAAATTATAATGATTAGTTGCATTTTGATTATGTATATGGACATGTTTTAGTAAAAATTCATTTTTTTTAACCTATCGTGACCTGTGACTTTGAACTGCTAAATCTAACTTAGTTTATATGTACTAGACAAGTCAAATTTTGCCACTGTTTTATCTCTAAAGATATTATTAAGACTCAGCTGATTCAATTTTAACGAAAGGTGTTCCACATTGGATTAAATAAATGAATTTTCGTTGTAGTTATTCCGGAACAGCCATTAAGTTGAGTGAAGAACGAATTACGTAAATTGCCTATTGTTAGGCGCAGATGTAAATAATTTAGCTAAAGACTGCCTCTCTTTCTTCTTAAATTACACTGTCACGCCCCTCCCACAAAGGCCCTTTTGGTAGTAAAATTGTTTCATGTGTTACGTTTAAAACTTTTAAGTGACCTAAAGCGTTTTTCCTTTTGTATTTTGCAAGACCCTATATCAAAAGCCTATATCAAACTTGGTCAAAAATATTGAGCCTTTAATTAATTTAACACGGTAGCTAGTTTTTTTTTATTTTTTTAAAAAACATTGTTGATTGGGTTACTCACAGAGTGCACTACCGTCAAAATTATATCATTGTTTCCTTCGTTTTTGTTTCGATCGGGACCATATGGACGGAACAGCGAAAATGTCGGATTGTTCGAGGATTTAGCCATTACAGCTGAAGACAATGGTAATGCTTCTGGCCCAGCATTCTGCAAGAGACGCTCAATATCATTCCGTGATCACGGGAGATATGATGATTTATATTACTTTCGAAATTCCATTTGTTCTTTTGATACTGTAAAACATAATTTGATAACGGTACTGTTGACGAATAAAAAGTGACCGACAGTAAGTTGTAATTTTTTTAATGATTGGTTGTCATTTTAGTTGAAATGTATACGAGTATTCAACAGAATTCAGTTATTTACTTACTTCAGTTATTTATTTAGCGCTGATCACTATTCAACAGTGAACTATTCCACACTTTACTGTGGGAGTTAAATGTCAAGTTCCTTTCATAGTCCTATTATGTAATTTAGACTGACGTATGGAAAACGTTAAAATAGCCTACATGTATTATCTTTCCTATATTGTTCCGTTATTTTTTAGTATGTTATATAACTTGCTTACTCTTTGTTATTTAATAACTCCAACCAAAATAAAAATTAATTAACCAAATTACGTATTTAATTAATTAACAACGGTTGTTAATTATTTAATATTTAATTATTTATCTCATTCTAAAACTTTGTGAACGATAATTCGCAAAAAATTTAAGTAGAACAGCGGACAATATGAAAATGTAATATATATTTATGTATGGTAATCACATTATACATAATCCAGTAATCTAACGCATTTTACCTTGCATGAAATGGGGTAGTAGGTTTCTTTTTTTTATATTGTTTGTAATAGTACCGAGATGCTAAATCCAAATTTTTGACCTCGGCGACCTTCCGGATCACCACTAAAAAGCTTTAAAATCGGCGGAATTTCTTACTATTTTTACGTTTATCCAATTGTGACCCTGAAACATCACTTTTTCATAAAGAACAACCATAATCATTTTCAAAGTACATTAAATTACCTATCATTTAAGACCAAAAATGGTTATTACAGGCCTAATAGTTTTCAAGATATAACTCAGCAAACAACAGCTAAAATAACAAAATTTTGAACTTTTTTAAAGTTTAGCTAACGTTAACCCTGATGCATAACTTTCTCATTATTTTTCATTAAAACAACCATTATTACTTAAAAACTAAATTAAATTACTCACAATTTAAGACCCGAATGGTGATTATAGGCCTAACACATTGAGAGATATGCCTCTTCGAGGTTCATAAAATCGTCCATAAATGCTTGAATTTTAAGTTTTAAGCTATTCAATTTGGTCAAATTTTATTAAAGAACCATATTAAGAAATAAACAAATTTATTTAATTTCATCAACAGATTGTTTTATAACAAAAATTGTTAAAATGGAAACAAATCTATCATATCTATCTATATAAACACACAAGTACATTGTTACAATAAATTGTTCTCGTGGATAGAACACAGGCCTGTGACGAACGGTATTTATTTAATTGTATCGTCGCAGGGGCCGGTTGGAGAACACTGAGGGCGACGGCTTCTGTTATTATTAAATGATCCTTGTACTTTTGGACATGGACTCGTCCTGTGGGGTATCAGTTAAAGATTGACTTGTATGACTAACTTGAGACGTTTGGATATGTGAACTATAATTTAGTTTTTCATTCAATTGAGACATGGGTAATGGTGAAAATCCATGTGTGAAGAAGTGCTTTAATTCTTCATCCGACTGCTTCAGAACGCATAGCCTGTGAAACAGTGTGAGGGGGCCAATAGTGACCTTTATATTGCCAACATTCACAGTATTAACTTCAAAAGAAAGAGATACTACTTTATTCTTCCTTTTGTATCTGACTTATTCATATTTTTCTCATAAAACTCTCAACATCGCTTCCTTGCCAATATCTCTAGCCTTATGACAGTTGACAGTTTTCCTCCAACAATTACACTGCGAACATTATAACATCGGTATTAGGGAATGGAGGGTGACGAAGTAACCAGTCACACAGCTTCTCTGTATTCGCTTCAACTCGAGTGAATTGTGAGGGTCTTATTTCTACATACTGCTCAGTTGAATGTGCCTTAACATTGCAGTAAGCCTACTCCCCAACCTCAACACTAATTGTCACACCCAAACATACTATTTATCAGAAAGTAAATCAGCGTTGACTGAGTTTCAAGCCAATAACCTTACGTCCTCAGAACATTGGGTTTTGTATTTTGGCTGATCAAGGATATCGGTTGGCTCAACCCACAAGCTTCTCTCCTTAGCAACAAGCGATTAAGTTTCCTCGTGCTAAAACGTTCTCGATAGTATCGTACGTATATGGTCATGGACAATCACTGAAAAGTGTTGGCATCTCGTATGAACTGCAAATTAAAAACTCTTTTGTTGTTGGGAATCAAACCAGTCGACACAAGGCTGTACAAAATAAATATACTTGTACGTGAATAGTCGAATCAACCCTAGTTTCTGAGTTGTCTGGCTCAATGAGTACTAACTTATAACATTATAGTTTCCACTTTTGTGTCTCCTGCTTATGAAACAGAACTTAAAGGCAATTGGCAAAATCACAATTGGAGATATTATTTACATGTTTAAAGGGAAAAAATCAACAAAAAATTAGAAATAGTTACAACATGGCTGATATCAATATTTTGGTCTATATTTTGATATTCTCTATATGCTTATATTATCCTATGTAATTGACAAGAATGTTTCATTAAAACCTTTTTTCTCTCAGCTCGTGTGTATCGCAGGGAAAACTTACGTATAGGCTACTGTCAGAAAGATATTTTTCTGAAGATGTGCAGAATTCCTTTTTTAAATTGAAACAGACTAAAAAAATAAGTACGTTCTGCGCCATTCCCTCCCAGCACTAACAAAGCCACAAGCATGGGTTATACCAATAATATGACATATTTAGTAATTATATTTGTACGAGTTGTACGAGTTTATTGCGAAACTCTTAGTTTTGCGCAATTTAAACTGTTGTTTTATGTTATTTTTAGGGTTATTTTTTCTCACTAACGTACTATTAGTAGTGAACCAGGCCAACTAATTTCTCGATTTAGTTAGTTTTGGTGTGCTTTTGCTCCATTGACATTTTAAGATTTTTTTAAGAAACTGTTCTAACCTTCTATTATAACTCTAACGTTGACATTTCATTGAATAGTATAATTAATTTGCCGCCCAGTGAAAATTGGCATCTGGGACCTGAATTGATCCCTAGTGATTGAACCAGCAAGCATCAGATTTCAAGGCAAGCACTTTATCCATTCAGATACGAATACTCAATACAGAAGTCTAGTTGTGCATCCCATAGCTCGTGTGCATCTACCGACTCAAATTCCAATATGCCTTGTGCTTCTGTCGTGAAGAGCCCTACACTTCCTACACTTATCTGAGCATTCTGAAATCCCGATTAAATTAGTAACGGTTTACCACCTGACAGCTCCAGACCTATACTACTTCAACCCTGAGGTACAACAACTCACCATTAACATCTACTTCCTTGACAATCTCCTCCAGCTGTGCTTGTGTCTGCGCATGTCCCAACAGTTCTAGAATGGAATCCCTATACAACAACTCACCATTAACATCTACTTCCTTGACAACCTCCTCCAGCTGTGCTTGTGTCTGCGCATGTCCCAACAGTTCTAGAATGGAATCCCTATACAACAACTCACCATTAACATCTACTTCCTTGACAATCTCCTCCAGCTGTGCTTGTGTCTGCGCATGTCCCAACAGTTCTATAATGAAATCCCTATACAACAACTCACCATCAACGTCTACTTCCTTGACAATCTCCTCCAGCTGTGCTTGTGTCTGCGCATGTCCCAACAGTTCTAGAATGGTTCCCTATACAATACAACAACTCACCATCAACGTCTACTTCCTTGACAATCTCCTCCAGCTGTGCTTGTGTCTGCGCATGTCCCAACAGTTCTAGAATGGTTCCCTATACAATACAACAACTCACCATCAACGTCTACTTCCTTGACAATCTCCTCCAGCTGTGCTTGTGTCTGCGCATGTCCCAACAGTTCTAGAATGGTTCCAATCATGTCAATCCCAATGCACCCCTTCTTCTCTGCATCAAAAGCCGTAAACGCATTTTTCAGCACTGAAACCACAAAATAAATAGATAAATAAAAGAACTAATCACTCTTAGCTAAATAAGCATAGAATAGAAAAAGCGCGTTATTTAAATAAGTTAATATTTACACAATTGTTTACACCTACACAAAAGAATAATGGCCAAAGACCGTCTGTTATGTGATAGTATGTGGGACCTACTGTTTATAAATTAGATAAAAACTAAAAAATAAGCCTTTAGTCACACTTTAAACTATACGTTTCTTCAAAAGAATTGTCTGAGTTCCACTTTAAAGGTATATACGCATAGCAATACAAACTAAAAACAGAACAGATTACAAATTATTCATGAAAATAAAATCTATATAAATAAAATTAGAGTTTTGTCTGTACATTGCTCAGAATTATATACTTTTAGGTTATTTTTACGTTTTATACATTAAAGAAGCAGAAACGAGTCTTATCTCAATTTCTGTCTGTCTGTCTGTCTGTCTGTCTGTCTGTCTGTCCCTTTGTCTGTAACACTCAAGATGGCATTTTACGCAATCTTCTCCGTGAAAACCAGAGTACATATCAAGATCCAAGTCATTTTAATGTATTCACTGGATTGGCAAGAGTGTCTTTAGTGATTTAAATATAGCCTCACTACTTTGTAAATAAAATTACGGACGTTCAAAATTGCAGTTTTGTGCGATTTTTGTCAAATTTTCGTTCAATTTTTATCACATAATCGTCTATGAAATAACGAACAGCTGTTCGGATCAAGATTATTTTTTCTAGCTGTCAATGACATGTTTACAAATGTTGTTTACAAATACCGCAACTATTTCGAATCACGTTTTGAAAGCAAATCCCAACCAAGTGAGATTAAAAACGTTTTTCTTACATAACGGATTTAATTAATCACAAGTGCAATAATATAGTCTAATAGTGTAACCGTAAATGAAATTAAAAAACTAGACATCGTCCAAATCGGAACCAGAAATTCTTTGAGTATAAAATGTTTCTTGAGTTTTGACAACCAGAAAGAAGAAGACCTTGAATCAGTGTTGTATAGGGCTGTGACACTGAAATGATCGTCGCCAATAGCTTACAAAAAAGGTTTCCACTCATTGACGGCGCTTCAATGGCGATTGTGTAAAGTGTAAAGTAAAAAATCACAACTGCAGTGGGTGATTGTAACAGAGGTTTAACAGAGGAAGTGCTAAACTCGCTTTTCCAATGTGTCACTTTCTGTTTCTACTCACCGTGTGATGCAATCGCTGGACCATACAGCCAATAGGCCCATAGCTCATATCTTGGGTAGGTACGTAAGCCTACATATTTATTCATAACAACCTTTTTGACGACGATCCTTGATACCGGTACTTTTCCATAGAATACATGGCCTACCTACTTAAAAAATAAAATTACAAATGACCAAACCCCCAACATTGTGTGAATTTCGTCACATTTCCTTCTAATGTTAATAGATATACTAATCATTGTTTAGAGAATGCGTAATCTATTAAATAACAAAAAGTTGTTTGGGTAAGGGTGCTTCTTTTTCAAACTGACACCGATAAGTTTACGCTATAACTTTTTACGAGAAAATCCAAAAGCAAGAGATCAATAACCTCGGGACTAGATATTAATATATTTAATTGGTCCGATTTACTGTAATTCTTAGGTAGGTTCTTACGTAGGTACTGGTTCTTTTCCTTAGAACCGGTAGTTTACAAATTAGATATCGTTGGTGTTGCACCTTATTTATTAGAGCCGTCCGTATTCAATTTAAGTGATGTCTTAACTCTGTATAAGTTTTGCTTTTTCTGCCTGGATTCCAAATCTTAGCTTACCCGGTATGCTAAGAAAATGATAACCTATTTGAGTAAAACATTTGTTGGGCAAACCATCATGAATTGTTTACGCCTTTATATTGTTTATGTATCAATAGTTCGTGGCCTTTGTTGGATTGTTGTATTGTGTTGTTTTGTTGTATGTTGGTAACGCATTAATGTCCTTATTTCTCAGTGTTTCACGGAATGGACAAGAGCACCTTTGATACTGAAAATGTCAACCGGAATAAAGTGTTAAATGGTGAGATTGAGGTAGTACTTTAAATGTGACCCGCCAAGGGAAAAGGGACCTTATCTTCCAGGACAAAATTTTACAGTACGAGCAGTTTTAGTGGTTTAGGTCAAAAAATCACATGTTCTGTTTTTGATAGTTTCTTACTCTATGTATGTTTCTAAACAATATTCAGTCAACTACACACTTGAATTCAACCTAGAACATGGTTAAAATAATCAATTTCCAAACCCTTGCAAGCTGCAGAAAAGGGACCTTAACTTCCCCAATGTTATTTAAATGGCTGGAAGTTAAGGTCCCTTTTGTTTTTGTGTTTTATTACACAATGATCTGTGATCTGTGATCTGTGATCTGTGATATGTGATCTGTGATCTGTGATCTTTGATCTGTGATCTGTGATCTGTGATCTGTGATCTGTGATCTGTGATCTGTGATCTGTGATCTGTGATATGTGATCTGTGATCTGTGATCTGTGATCTTTGATCTGTGATCTTTGATCTGTGATCTGTGATATGTGATCTTTGATCTGTGATCTGTGATCTGTGATGTGTGATCTGTAATCTGTGTTATCTGTTACCGATGATCTGTGATCTGTGATGTGTGATCTGAGATCTGTGATCTGTGATCTTTGATCTGTGATCTGTGATCTGTGATCTGTGATCTGAGTTATCTGTTACCTGTGATCTGTGATCTGTGATCTGTGATGTGTGATCTGTGAACTGTGATCTATGAACTGTGATCTGTGATCTTTGTTATCTGTTACCTGTGATCTGTGATGTGTGCTCTGTGATCTGTGTTATCTGTTACCGATGATCTGTGATCTGTGATGTGTGATCTGTGATGTGTGATTTTGTGATGTGTGATCTGTGATCTGTGATCTGTGTTATCTGTTACCTGTGATCTGTGATTTGTGATCTGTGATCTGTAACCTGTGATCTGTGATCGTGGATCTGTGATTTGTGTTATTTTTGTTACCTGTGATGTGTGATATGAGATATGTGATCAGTGGGCTAACAATGTAAATAATTATCTCAAATTCAATCATCAATTTTATTATTCTGCTTTAAATTCCTGACAAAATGATATGTAAAACATGGCAAATAATCCAAGTAGTATAAAAAATATCTTTGCTTGAAAATTAGAAAACTTTGGAGCGCGATTTCTTAAAACTAACAATTTTAAAATAAAAACTGTAAACACCTATAACTTTGGCATTTTTTAAGATATCTTAATAATTCTTTCACCAGTGTGTTTGGTTAATAGTCTAGATTAAGAATATACCAATAACTCAATTTTGAATTTTTGGAAGTTAAGGTCCCTATTCCCTTGGCAGGTCACAAATACGTTTAAGTTAACCGATGTGGAAAGTAACTTTCAATTATAGGCCTACTTTAGGGCTACGCTTCATGGATCTATAAAACATTTTTAAGTTTAATCATTGGACATATGGACCAACACGATCCGGGTGACATTTAATTGCGAAGCATTTATTTTGGCTTGAACTGTCAGATACTGTATTTGCGAAGGTTTATATATAATAATTTTGCCAGCATATCTGCAAATATGCAAACTAATTGCTGTTCTTTATCTTAATATAAGAAGGTTTTAACTGACTACTATAAGATCCCCGTGCGTAGAACGGGCACACAGCTAGTAATTTTAATATAATGGAAAACTACATTGGCTTTTAATCTACCAAAACACCAACCTACATGTAATACCTCTGGCAAGAAGTTTTATATACAGGGCAAAATTCGTTGATCATTCGTTGGTTGTCTCAGGTCCAAAGAGGTGATAAAATGTCCGTTCAGTAATACCCTCCTGAGACCATACTGGCGCTGTTGTTCCTTGATAATAAATTTACAGCATAGTCTACTCAAGTTTTTTGACGACACAACCATACAAGACATTTGATAGAATAAAGCCTCCCTATATTGTATTGAATGCGCTCAAAATATCCCCAAAAAATTTTAAATAATTTAACTCTTTCCGCTAACTGCAAATGCGCTGAATTATGTACTAGTGATATTATAGTCTCTATATTACGTTACTAGTCCTGAAAATATGTGTTTACCGGACGAATGTGGTCGTCCCGACGAAGTCGAGTGCAGGATTACAATATAAGTCCGGTAAACACATTTTAGACGAGTGACGCAGCGAGTGACGTACGATATTTTACGCCGTACTACTCAAAGCAACAATGATCCTTATCCTCGTTTATACCCGCGGACTAAAGGACTAACAATCGCCACTCAAAACCTCTAAGAGAGGATATGTTTTTGTTTATAACCACCCATTGCCAAATATAATCAGCTGGTTGGTGTCCGGTAAAATCTCATTACAGTACAGTAGTACGTAATGAACCCCATTTGATTATGCTGGCGGCAAACAGCTGTATTCTGGACTAAATCCTTGCGTGGGAAATTTGTTAAAACAATGCAGAATGATGTAATAGCTATTTACCTTACAAGTGTAGTAAGAGCGTTTTTACATCACGCAGGTGAAGGTTGTGCAACGAGCGGAAGCGAGTTGCATAATTTACCTAAGTGATGTAAACACGCTCTTGCGTAACGTGTAACGTACAAGATTTTACCTGACCCGACAATATACAGGAGGTTACGAACAATATTAATCATCATCCATTTCACTCATCTTCTAACAGTAAACGTTCATTTACAAAAAAAAAAAGCTAGGTTAGGAAAATTCTTCAAAACATAACAATAAAATTCAAGAGCGCAGCTAATTTCTAGCGTTGAACGTCGTTGGCTCTATAGAGGTATATTTTTTAAGTTAATCACTCAATGTTATTTAAATGGGTTTCATTACATCACCGAGTGAGTTTTTGATATTTTACATCACTCGAGAAGTAAGGAAGTTGTATACATCACGCTTGGGATAGGGAAGTTTAACATGGCGGGTTAGGTAATAGCTATTTACATTACAAGTAGTGCAGTGAGA